CAATGAAAGGCCCGGGACCTCTTAACATCAGGCCTCTGAACCCCTAGGCCCTAAACCCTTTAGCCCAACTTCGAGAGCTCTCTAGGAGTCGCGAGCCCCAAACCTTCGAACTAAAGCCTATTAGTTGAAAAATGAAATCCGTGCAGAACCCGAACCTTCAGAGCGTCAGGTCGAGCTACCGGCCTAAGCCCGGAGGGCACGGGCTCGGGGCGAGTCATCCCAAGGCAGCCCTCGGGCGCCCAATGCTCAGAAGCAAAGCTGAGGGTTTGGGTGTTTTGGGTGTTTTGGCTTTGAGATTCCAGTCTAGGGTTTACGGCTTTGGGGTCTAGGGAGTTGAGGCATAGGGGCATACTGTCAGCTTCGGTCCGTGGCATACAGTCTGGTATAGCGGCATGCTCCTCGGCTCTTGGGTTCTGATGAGCATAGCCGTGGCACTCATGATAGTGGTGGTGGTTTTCGTTTGCGGCACTAGGCCGCGAAGCGGCTGTGCGACAAAGAACTGGTTTCAAAACGAAGATGAAGCAGTCGGCCAGTCGAAACGTATTACAGCCCAAGAAACTAAACCCCGAACCTGAACCCTAAACCCTAAACACGCAACTGTCAAAAACTTAAGCCAGCCAAACCCAGAACCCCAAACTCCTGTCAGCCAAGGGACTGAAGTCAAGTTACACTAACGTGAACTTGAATCGATCCCCTAAACACCCTGTTAGAATCCCATCATAAGAGCCCAGCAAGGTGATCGCGATCTTCGGAGCTCTTGGGTCGGCGTTTGCAGCAGCGGTGGTTGCTTTGAGCACGGGGAGCGTCCCTTTGACTTGCTTTAGTGCTTCAGGCTCGTCTAGCTGAGGCCGTTTTACAAGCCAGGCAGCTGGAGTTTTGGTTTGGGATTCATGAATGTCTTCGAGCTCGGGCCTGAGGCTGTCTTAAATGCCCGATTCCGGCAGTCCGGCTGTACTTGTACAGAATGACAGACAGAACATGGTTGGCGATTGTATCTTCGGGCCTGATTTTCCACAATTTCCCCAGATCTAAGACTTACGACATGATGATGATGATGATGATGATGATGACGATGACGATGACGATGACGATGACGATGACGATGATGATGATGATGATGACGATGACGATGATGGTGATGATGATGATGATGATGATGATGATGATGAGATGATGACAGCAATGGCAAAAAATATGGCATCACGCCCTTCGACAGACAAGCTGTTGCTGCTCGCGACGAAATGGTCTGGTGACAGGTGTCCAGTTGTTTTACTGGCCATCTGTTTGTCAAATGGAGTCATTCCCTCCAGAACTGAAGACCATGATGCTTCATAAAGGAAGGCGCGTTGGTGAACAAATTGAGGAAGGGCTTGCTCAATGGGTCCATGCTGCTGAAGTATCTCCCACCAGCAGAAGATGCACAGCCGTTGCACAGATGAATGAAATGCTCGCTGCAACAGGGCTTCATGTGTTGAATGCCTAGCGAAGGTTGCTGTTGGGACGCTGGGTGGTGTGGCAGCGGCCTCGATTTGGTTTAGGTGACTCTGGGGTTCGCCAGAGCACGACTTCGAGGGCAGCGGTACATGTTTTGGAATGTCAGGTGGCAGGTCCCTAAACCCTAAACCCTAAACCCTAAACCCTAAACGAGCTGGAAAAGACTGACGGACTGAGGCGGTGACGTGCTGCGTCACGGGGGTGGCAACCGGCGACATGCTCAAGAGCCGCTTGGATGTACGTGGGCAGTTGTCAAAATTAGGGTCCCTTTTTGGGTTTAGGGTTTAGGGTTTAGGGTTTCAGTTGTCAAAATTAGGGTCCCTTTTTGGGTACCCTAAATAATAGGTGCCGTACTATATTATGGACCCAAAAAGGGACCATAATTTTGACAACCACCCACGTATGCTTGTATGTTTGTATGTATACATGCAGGTATGAGTATAAGACCGTATATGTGAGTGTAGAGTGTAGACGTACGTATATATAACAGATACATACATACGTGTGTATATATATATACACACATACATACATACATACATACATACATACATACATACATACACACATGCACATACAGATACAGATACACAGACACAGACACAGACACAGACACAGACACGGACACATACATACACTTATACATACATACGTACGTATGCATGTATGCATACATGCATGCATGCATGCATGCATACGTACATACACACATGCATACACACATACATACATACATACATACATACATACATACATACATGCATACACGCAAACATGCATACATGCAAACATGCATACATACGTACATGCATACATACATACATAAATACATACAAATTCACGTGGTGCTCGCAGAGCAACGTGGTTGACATGTTACTCCAGCCGACGACTACAGATGTCTGAGCCGCCCAGGACGGAATCTCCTCTCCACAGAGCCCGGGTTGGTGTTCGACTGAAGGGCCAAAGCTTCGGCCAGTCGCCAAAGCTGCGACTGAAGCGAAAGCCAGCAGCCAGGGTCAAGGGTTTTGTAGAAAAGCACATGGGTGTAGGATTTCGGATTGTTCGCAACAAGGCCTAAGGGCTTAAGGCTTAAGTACAAGGGCCTATGGTTCAGGATGTTTAAACTTCAAGGTTTGAGAGTCAAGTTGGTGCCGCGTAGAACTTCGGATCCACGTTCTTAAATGCTGCTTTGGAAGACTTGGGCGCTCCAGGTCTCTGATGCTAGCGCCGGCAAGCGGCCCTACTTTGGAAATAATCTGGTTTCGATGATCTCAGCTGATCGGTAATATCGGTAGTAGAACTTGTGATTGTTGTTTCCTGTGGTGGCCAGTCGTGGCATGAGGCCTGGAGATATCTCCAAGGAACAGGCATTCCCACACGGGAAGCTCCTTTCTCGCTAAAACTTCTTTCTGGCCAGGTCCTGGTTGCTCAGCCAAGGCATCGCGAGCATTTTCGGGTTGAAACCGACGAGTGCGTGTGCCGAGCCGTTTGCTGAAGCTCAAGCTTGTATCCACAGGAGGCCAGCTTACATCAAACAGGTCGCATCTGTGACATGCCCAAGAACTAGAATTGTCCTGTGTTTTGAAACTAACTGCCTCGCATTTTGCCTGAACCCATGCTTACGTGGGTGCAGCGCCCGATCTCATTTCTGAGCAGGCAAAGTAAGAAGAACATAGAAAGTGCAGACACCCTGTCCTAGAAGATTCTGCGGAGCCCCGCAGCCCAGTACCAGCCATCATGGGTGGAGGCAGCAGCCATTTCCTCGGTGTCGGCGCGCGTATGCAGTTTACAAGTTTCCTGGAAAGTCGCAGAAGTGGTCAGAACATCTCGGCCGGACAAGACAATCATGTAATGCACAAGTCGACCCAAAGGAGACCGTATCACGGCGTTGACAAATTACAGGAGTGTTTCGAAAATGAAGAATTGTTTGTGTCCTTTCCGGTTTGTGCGCACCGAAAGTCTTGGAAAAAACAACGGCACATTAAGACAACAATGGGAAACATAGGGTGTGTCGAAAAAGCACCGAAACCACTGATCTACCATCGAAATCTCTTGTTAACAGGAAACAACCTTTTCGATTTGTGCATCAAAACCATGGGTTTTCCAACAGAATCCTATGTGAATCCTACAAAAACAGGTGGAACATAGGAGCAAAACAGAAAATGTAGGAAACACAAAGCATTGTGTCGAACATGACACATGTTCGGTGCTTTTTTCGTTTTTGCATCGAAACCTAGGGTCTCGCACCGAAATCCATGGTTTGCCATTTCTCAGAATCCTGGACTGTCTCTTATCTGCTTCCTTAACATAATGATTCAATGGATTTGTGACTCCGGCCCGGTACTGCAAGTCTTATAATCCTAGCAAAACCAAGCCCGTGCCGGCATGAGCCATCAGAGACAACGTCCTCATGAGGCATTTCAGGTAGCAGAAAGCAAACGGAGCAGCAAAGGCCAGTTTTTGCAAGACTTCTGACTGAGGTTCGTGCCATGCTGCTCAACCACAACTATATACTGCTAGGCCGCTCTTCGTGCCATGTGCCCACTATAACACCTCCGCTCAAATTCTTCTTGTTTCGCTTACAGCGGGCGTACAGCTGATACTCATCGCTGATGCTCATCGCGCTGAGCTTCAGATCTGCACAGTGGTTTGCCCGCGAGCAACGCCGGGTGGCAGATCTGCCAGGGGACCTCAGTCCTCAGACTAAGCCCAGCTGAACTGGAAGGTCTAGAGATTCGTAAAACCACCGTCTGGCTTCAGCTGCAGATGGCCTATGGTACTACGGCAGTAGCCAGTATTTTCGGTCGGCCACTTGTCTGAGGGATGAGTTATCCTGAAGAAGCGGGCACGTTGTTCAATCTCACAATGCCGCCTGTCAGCGACACAGCGTTTGGCGACAGCACCGCTCCATATTGCTTGGACAAGACTTGAACCATGTAAGCAGCATGCAGAGCGCACGCTGCAGGAGTAGAAGGCTGTCGCGCGATGTGAAGGTAGATGTCGCTCTCTGTCTATGTATAGCACTTCCTACGATACAACTGTCGCCGTCGTACATAGATGTACATTGGCGGATATCCCTAAACCCCAAACCCTACGCCCCCCCCCTGCGGGCTTCCTGTCCCAGGCCACGCCGAAGCGGCCGTCCCGGGCCTTACGCGCGGAGCCCGGCTCCTGGGCTGCTCCGGCACTTGGCTCCCTTTGAAGGGCCCTGATGAAGGGCATGACATGCGAGGGCCGTCACAATTACGTATACTGCTTTGGGGCTCCCTTTTTTATTATAGTTTTATATACACAAAAACCCTATTCTAATCATCAAGGCCCCTACATCATCTGTTGAGTTGTGTATAGGGTTTTTTGGCAGACTGTCAGGCTGCAGCAGGATTTTTGACCGTGGCTGAAACTAGACATCATCCTCAGTACATGTTTGACGACCCCAGGCTATCAAGGGTCCGTTCTGCGTAGTGTCTTTTCTCAACTCCAAACTTTTGCAAAACGGAAGGAGAGACATGGCAACTCAGTCGAGCAGTGGCCAAAACAAAGGTTTTCGATGTCGACCTCCTCGCCGGGGAGCTCCTAAAGCTTCGAGGCCAATTGTTTTGGCAAGCTTCTCAGTGCCATGCAAGAATAGCCTGAGCGTGTGGCGCAAAATGCTCGGACCTGTTAGATGCTGCCAAGCATGCCTGATGCCAACCGCAGCAGTGTTGTGACTTAGCCTTAGGACGGCTGTGAAATCCAATTCATGGTGATGACGAAGCTCCAGCTACCCTGGGCCTTCACCTTCTGGTCCGTGCTGCAGGTTGCCGTGCTGAATGCATCGCGCTTCACAGGGCAGGGCCAGGGAAGCTCGCTGGAGCGCGGCGAAGCGGGGCAGGGCGCCTCCGGAGTTGACGCGGCATTGCCACCACCAACACTAGAAGAATGGTTGAGCACTCTTTCGCTGCAACATGCGCAGGCGAGGGCCGATGCTGCTAATGAACTTGGTAAGTTGGGCAACGAGGCTGCAGAGGCCATTCCGAAGCTCACCGAGCTCTTGCAAGACGATCGTGAAGCAGCGGGTGACATATATGTTCAAGATGCTGCAGTCAAAGCCCTTGGACACATGGGCAGCGCGGCGGCATCGTCTGTGCCAGAGATGTTCAAGCAGCTGCGGCGCCAAAGCACTAGCAGCTTTGAAGAAGGAGTTGCATTTGCCTTGGCGAACATCGGCCAAGAAGCCCCCGAAGCTGTCTTGCCCAGCGTGCTGGAGTCATTGAAAGCTTCGGAGTGGTACGTTCGCTGGGTCGCTGCCAGCGCTTGCGGCTTGCTGGGCGAGAAGGCAGCTGCATTCGTGCCACAGCTGCGCCAACTTGCCAAATATGACCCCGAGTCGATGGTTCGCAGTGTGGCTTCGCAAAGCTTGAGCGACATGAGCAAAGTCATCACTCTGCCAGCGCCTAATCTGACCGACTGGCTGGAGTATCTTGATGGCACTGATCCCCAAGCGAGGGCCGATGCTGCCAATGAACTTGGTAAGTTGGGCAAAGAGGCTGCAGAGGCCATTCCGAAGCTCACCGAGCTCTTGCAAGACGATCGTGAAGTAGCGGGTGACATATGTGTTCAAGATGCTGCAGTCAAAGCCCTTGGACACATGGGCAGCGCGGCGGCATCGTCTGTGCCAGCGATGTTCAAGCAGCTGCGGTTCCAAAGCACTCGCAGCTTTCGCGAAGGAGTTGCATTTGCCTTGGCGAACATCGGCCAAGAAGCCCCCGAAGCTGTCTTGCCCAGCGTGCTGGAGTCATTGAAAGCTTCGATGTGGTACGTTCGCTGGGTCGCTGCCAGCGCTTGCGGCTTGCTGGGCGAGAAGGCAGCTGCATTCGTGCCACAGCTGCGCCAACTTGCCAAATATGACCCCGAGTCGATGGTTCGCAGTGTGGCTTCGCAAAGCTTGAGCGACATGAGCAAAGTCATCACTCTGCCAGCGCCTAATCTGACCGACTGGCTGGAGTATCTTGATGGCACTGATCGCCAAGCGAGGGCCGATGCTGCCAATGAACTTGGTAAGTTGGGCAAAGAGGCTGCAGAGGCCGTTCCGAAGCTCACCGAGCTCTTGCAAGACGATCGTGAAGTACATGTAGCGGGTGACATATGTGTTCAAGATGCTGCAGTCAAAGCCCTTGGACACATGGGCAGCGCGGCGGCATCGTCTGTGCCAGCGATGTTCAAGCAGCTGCGGTTCCAAAGCACTCGCAGCTTTCGCGAAGGAGCTGCAGTTGCCTTGGCGAACATCGGCCAAGAAGCCCCCGAAGCTGTCTTGCCCAGCGTGCTGGAGTCATTGAAAGCTGAGAAGTGGTACGTTCGCTGGGTCGCTGCCAGCGCTTGCGGCTTGCTGGGCGAGAAGGCAGCTGCATTCGTGCCACAGCTGCGCCAACTTGCCAAATATGACCCCGAGTCGATGGTTCGCAGTGAGGCACAGAAAGCCCTGGACCTCATAGACAAGGCCACTGACCTGTCAGCCTAGGCGCTGTAGACTCAGGTGCCGGACGCCTCCAGAAATCCAATGCCGTTTCAGATGTCGTGCTGGGTGCAGTGCTGTAGACTGGCCTGCGACGCGTCCAGCTTGGGCTGGCATGCACAGTACAGTACACCTGTCCCTCACAGGTTATCAGCGTTCGCACGGTCATGCGTTTTCTCGCATTGTCTCGTACCCAGCCGAATCTATTGGAAAAGGGATGTGTGTCTGTCCTGACTTCCAGTGCTTGCGCTGTCTTCTGACCAGAATCTTACATCTACCTGCGCACTTGTGCAGTGATCATGTGTTCCCGCATTTGTATGTCCAGGTCTGTGCTCGGACCCAACGACAAATGAGGCCTAGGCGGACACGCAGGCCTGGTGAAGAGGAAGCGCAGCCTCGAAGCTTGTAGTGCATCGCAGTCTCATTGCTATCGGGGCGAGGCAAGCAGATATCATGGACGTCGTCAGGAAAGCATCTGCACCCTCTTTGCCGCTCGGTCTGGTGATGCAGCATAGCCGCCACAGCCCGACACCAGAACGAGCTTGAACGGTTGGCTGACATTTCCGGGACCTGGCAGAGGGATGTTGACGGAGGTAGGGTTGCAGCTGTAGCGCTCAGCTTCAGGAATACCCTCGGCGACGTCTAGCACGGAGCCGCAGCCATCAGGGGCCCGTGGAACAGGCGCCGCACCTTCTTCCAGTCCAGCCCGGCCGAGCCGAATCCTGGGGAGAACAAGGCCAAGGTGGCCAGAGCCTCAAGGGGTGCCGGTGCTGTCAGATCCTTGGCGCAAAGACAACGACGTCTCGCCGGGATCCCGCCCTCGAAGCCGCGAGCCTTACATGCTTCAGGGATCTGCGCCTGCTGCTCGTTCCGGGCTTAAAAACTGATTTGTGACTGGAGTAGTTGGGAGACTACGGCCTTTGGAAGAGCAAGCACACCAAAAGTGCCCGGGAGAGGCGTTTGTCTGCCAAACCGACTGTACCACGGCAGCTCCAAGGTGCGAATTGTCACCGATTCCGGGCCCGTTGCAAAAATATCTTGCAACATGAGTGTGATGAACGCTTACAGGGAGGTTAATACGCTCATGGCTGGATACAGCAACAAAGACGGGCAGAACCGCCAAAGTCTCTCCCTTGCGAATTATGTGGCTTTTGCGCCGGTGGTGCGCAGATAGTGTTGCAACTGGAAAGGCTTTGAACACGAAAATGAAGCAGGCAGAGGGGGCCGCGGATCCCTTGGGCCTTGGCCGTTTCCATAGGGCCGAAACGCTACTCTTCCACCCCGACTGCGGAGGCCTAGGACCTGGCTCACTGTCAATGACAGTGTGACGTTCCGATTCAACTGTAATTACCAGGTACTCGTAGGGCATTCGGCAGGAGCAACGCTCACATGGCTCTTAAACCCTTAACCCCCTCAATTGACGAAGCCGCTTTAGCCCGAAGCCCCTAAACCAACAACCTGCGAAACCAAAACCTCCAGAGACTCAGGTGGAGCTATACCGTCAGCCGCCAAAGCTGCGACTGAACCGGAAGCGAGAAGCCAGGGGTCAAGAGTTTCAAGTAGAAGGGCTCAGCGCTGAAGGAGAAAGGTTTATTGGATCAGAACCGTTATCTGTTAACTACAATGGCTCAGGGCTGAAGTGTTTACAGCTCAGGTTGTTTCAGCTACAAGGATTGAGAGTCAAGCTGATGCCGCATTGAACTCCAGATCCCGAGCTTAGGCAGTGAGACTGTTTCTTCAGAAATCTCCGAGGAATAGGCCTTCCAGCATGGGAAGCTCCCTGGCGAAAACGTCCTTGTTGGCCAAGTGCTTGTTGCTCTCAGCCCAGGCACTGCGAGCCTTTGCGGATTGAAAACGATGTGCGTGGGGTGAGCCGTTTGTGGAAGCTCAAGCCGCTAGCCACGACATCAAACAGGCGGCATAGGTGGCATGCCCAAGAATTAGAAGTGCCCTGGTATTCAATCTAGCTGCTGCGCATCTTATCTGAACCTCTCGTGCTTGTGTGGGCGCACTGCCAGACCTCGTCTCCAAGCAGGCAAAGCGGAACATAGACTCGACATAGACAGTATAGACACCCTCTCCCAGAAAGGCCTGAGGAGCCCCACCACACACAGCCCCACCATGGGTGGCGGCAGCAGCCATTTCCTCAGTGTCAGCGTGCCTGTGCAGTTTGCAAGTTTCCTGCACAGTGGCACAAGAGGCCTTGTAATATCTCGGCCAGGAGAGACCTGCGATCAAAGAGAGGCCGTATGAAGGCTTTATTCATCTTTGTTCATATGCAGCCTCAGGCAGAGCCGCAGAAGTAAACATGTTTGGGGTTGCATACGAGCACACAGGTCTATGCTTGCTATATTGTATATTATATGCATACAAGCACGCATGTACTTGTTGGAAGTTTCAGGCCCTGCAGTGTCCACCCCGGGTTTGTAGCCGGTGCCGGGCTGCAAGTTCCGCCCCATCCTCTGCGCATCATCATGAAAAGCCTTCAATACTAAGAATACTAATATTAATTACACTACTAGACTAAGAACATAACAACAAAAACAGTAGTACCCGTGACAGTACATATGATGCTAATGATGCTCAGAGACACCTCCGAGGCATCCCGAAAGGGAACCTCGCCCAACGCGGGGTTTCGGCCGTCGCCGGAGGGATCGACAACCTCACCGGGAGCGAGTCGGGGAGTGGCATCGCCAGCAAAGCAGCGGACAAGCTGGGCATAGGCCGGGCCTTTTGGAAATTTTTAGGGTTCCTTGCTTCCTTTCCAGTGTGATTCCAAGGAGAAGGAAGGTCCCTGAACTGCTTTGTGTCAGAGGAGCGTCCTAGTCTTGCGATTCAGTCGCATGGACGTAGCTTCCGACCCTGTCCTAGAGTGCTTTCGACGCTAGAGGCTTTCATCTCCCACAGATCACAAGCCCGAAAGCCCGTACTGCCCCCGAAACGCCAAGCTGGCAGGGAAACCCAAGGCTGGGCCTGCCTGGAGGTTGCAGTCCTGGGATGCCCCCGCCCCAGCAACCGGGTGGGAAGGCGGAGGTTCAGGGCTGTCGTAGCCAGGGAGGGTTTGATCCGGCGTTAAAGCGGAGGTTCAGGGCGTTTCCGGTTTTGGGGAGTGAAGGCTAAGGCTGCCTTTTGTTTAGTCTTGGTCAGGAGCCTTCCATCGCTACATTTCGGAGTTGTTGTTACACGGTTGTAGCCGCGTGGAGCTCCGACACCATTGCTGTCGTTATTGGAGTCAGTCTTTAACTGATGTCACTGGTTTCCCACTTTAGCATTGCGGTCATAGTTTTGGCTACGGGAGTCTAATGACACGTGGAAGCGGTTGCTGAAAACACGCTCCAAAAAGGAATGTGTGTGTGTGTGTGCATCGATATGTATACATATATATATATATATATGGATATATATGGATATATATATATATATGTATACACATACATATAGATAGATAGATAGATAGATAGATAGATAGATAGATCGATAGATAGACAGATAGACAGATAGATAGATAGATAGATAGATAGATTAGATAGATTAGATAGATTCGATAGATTCGATAGATTAGATTAGATAGATTAGATAGATGAGATAGATAAGATAGATTAGACAGACAGACAGACAGACAGACAGACAGACAGATAGATAGATAGATAGATAGGTAGGTAGATAGGTAGATACATTATTCGCAACATCGGCTTTCGTCATGTAGGGCAGTTGGCCGTCCCGCCCCTTTCTGAGATCCACGCACGGGACAAATGCGAGCCGTGGCTGGTCGGGAGCCTACGACACCAAACAGTGTAAGGGGTGTGGTGTTCGGGTCCGTGGATTGAGGGCTGAGGTGACATGAAGGGTTCAAGGTAAGCACCAGAGTGTCAATGCCTGGAACATGTCTACCCCGCGGTCTTGGTGAGACTGGTTTGCTCCGGTTTTACTAGCTTGTGCAGCAAGCATCCCCGGTAATGTGAGTTGAGATGTAATTTGTTTGTCCCCTTTAAGCATTGCTGCTCGAGGTGTATTGCATATAGCGCGTACAAGCAACATGCTGATGATCATCGTCATCATCATCGCTATCACAATTCGTCGCCTTGCCACTACAGCAAGATCAACAGGTAGTCAGGCGAGAGCGTATGTTCAGGTTGAATAAATTCGCAGGCATAACGTCTAAACAGTGCTAAACAGCTGTCGTATGACGTGAGGATATGGTCGTGTCGGCGGGGTTAGTTGGAAAGTGTAGCAGTGAACTGGGACCCTCTGTGATTGTCATACCGGTGCCGCTCGAACTGAGATTGGCTATGCCCTTGGGAAGTTTCGAGGCAGACGCTTTGTTCCAGCTCTGGGTTCACGATTTCAGATTTGGGCTGTGGAGTTTAGAGGTTAGTCGGACGAGGTTGTGGGAATCCTCTCGCTCTGAAACACGCCCAGCCCGGGCAAGAACATAGGTAGTCGCTTTTCCCAGCACTCATGAGGGGCTCCAGTCGTCTGTCGGAGCAGCTACAGGCTACCTCTGGAAACTGTCGAAGGAAGGTAGCTACTGCTGCAAAGCGAATGGGGGCAGCAGCTCAAGGTTTGTTATGTTACAAAGTGGAAGCTTATCAACACTTGACGAAATATTACTCGGGAAGCGAGTAGCAGCCTGTACTATCTCAGTGCTTGGATGCCACGGACCCACAGGGCAAACAAACACACAACACACAACACACACACACACACGCAGATAAAGAAGCAAACTTGCCCTGGAGCCTATTTACGTGAAATAACTCAATGCATACGTTATGGTCCGAGCTTGCCGCAGCCATCTGCTGACTCAGTGGTCGGGGTAGGGCCCCAGTTTTCCCGTGCGAAATGGCTGCTTGTTGTCCGCCTGACTCATGGCCACGTGCTGCAGAGGACGGATACAAAGCGACGGGCGAGCTCAGCACCATCGGTGGGGGGAAAACAAGTTCAAATACCATGTCGATATGTCAAATCGTCGCAAAAAAACACACGTAGGTACAGCAGGTATAACTTTTGGTCTCTGTTTCGTGAGATGCCTCCCTTGCTGCGAAGCTCCTGGACGCCATTCAGGTGATTTGCCAGTGTACATCTCTGGCAAGCCTGGCCCTCGCGCCATTATCGCTTTTCAGGAGGTGTTTGGTCTGAGCTCGAACATCAAGCGGATCTGCGACATCCTGGCTCAGGTGCTTGCTGTTAGCAAGAAGCTGAGTTCATGACTAGATTGGGTTCAGGATGCTGTATGTTCGACCGCACTTAATTCTCAGCGATTGTCTGGCTCTTGTAGTCGTGCCAGGCAGGCTTTTTCGTGGTGTTCGTGGACAGCTTTCGCGGCGACACGCTTCCGGAGGATGGTTCTTTCTCTAAGATGACCTTCACTACGGACAAGGCAGCCGATAACGCTACACCTCTAAACCCAAAGCCACTAAAGCCCTAACACTAAGCCCTTCAACTCCAAATCCCTAAACCTTTAAATCCTCAGGCGGGTCCAGATGTTCCTTACAGCGGGCTCGTCCTCAGGGCTCTTGAGAGCTTGATGTGTGGTATCTGGCCAGCCTGCTTGGAAGGAATGCGGATCAGCAACATCCGGCAGGTCTTCACATTTATGAAGAAGCAGCTTAGGGGCATCATAAGCAAGTCACAGTAACATTTCAAAATACGCTTACAACAGAATGCAGTAGTTAGAATATGCTCGAACGAACTACGGTATTAGAGCTTAGAAGTTACTCTTGCCTTGGCAGCAAAAACTGGGCATAACTTCTCAGGTACCCTTGGGAAACTTGCATCCGAAAGGACACTGAGATGGTCCTGGCGTGGCTGCGCGAGAAAGGTTGCACAAGCGTTGGCGCTATTGGCTTCTGCTGGGGAGTCTGGGCATTTTGCAAAGCATCCGCCGAAGGTCTCCCCTTAAAGGCTGGTGTTGGCCCACACCCCAGCATCCATGTGGAGAACTCGGTATTCAGTGGGAGCGAGATGGGGATGATTGAAAAGGTCCAGATGCCGGTGCTGCTGCTCCCTGCTGGCAACGACTTGCCAACCTACAAGCCCGGGGGGAAGGTCGCTACGGCTTTGGAAAAGAAGGGTGGTGCCTCCCACTTATACCCTGAAATGCGGCATGGCTATGCCGCGCGAGGGAACCTGACAGTGCCAGCCGTCAAGAGAGACTTTGACGATTGCATGGAGCGGATGATTGAACATTTTACCAAGCACTTGTAGGGGAGGCGGGAGAGGCCCCTGATTTGGAACAGCGTCTGCGGGTGTCTTCGGACGAGCGCCGATCGGTAGGTTGAGATGATATAGAGACTCGCCACCAAAGTAGATAGCGGAGAGAAAGAGTGCATGTGGTGGCCTGCATGTGTATTTTGAAGCATCAGCGAGGCTTTTTTCAGACAAACCTTCTGTCGCGTGCCCACAGCCAGCTCATGAAGATACGCACAGTGCACTGCAGTTTAGGACTCCAGGGCTCGAAGGATGTGGGGCACCCCTTGAGAGGTGGGATGCTGCCGTTCCTGTGAGCCCCGTAACGAAACTCCGTGTCAGGGGCCAACCAGGAAGCTCAGAGGCTCGTCTTTCGGCTGCTTCCTGGTCCGCCTGGCCCTCGTAACGGTGTGATTGGTCGTTTAGGTCGCTTGGGGTGCAGAGTGGGAGGAAGTGAAGCGACTGCGTTGAGAGGCCTTGTCTTGCCCTTCTGTGTTGAAGTCGTCGCACCCGTCTTCTCTGCTTCCGAATGCATCAGTCATACTTAGATCATCGTTGTCAGTGCTTTCGAGCTGGGGCCGTCCGTTCCTCGTGTGCGTGGCCTCTCAGCTCCTGAAAAGACAGAAGAAGCCGAATTTCGAGGGCAGGCCATCTGCCACAACTGTTTGGGGACTGCTTTTGGCTTCAGAGCTGCTGCAAGGTATTGGAGCCTACTGCAGAGGCCAGGAGACGGCATCATCATCTCACTTGCTGGATGTAGCACAGGGTGGTCAGCCTTTAAGACCTCAACTCCACCACGACGGTGATGACAGGCTGGATCAGCTGGCAGAGCCCCTGGCGATACGAACTGCCAATGGGGAGCGGCCTACGAATGACGCGCACGTGGTGCGGTGCTAGGGAGTTTCGCCCGTTACTGGTGATACGTGCAAGTCAGGCGCCTCAGAGCTGAGTGCTGACTGCAAAGTATTCGACTTCAGAAAGGAATGAACGCCTAGACACCTATAATTCTGCCAAGACTGTCAGCGACATGGGATCCGAGAACTCTCGCTCAGCCCTACACCTTGACCTAAAACCCGACTTGATGGAAAGCAGCACTGGATCTCCAGAAATGAGAGAGCCCCCTTGCGAGGACGACATACGCAGACTGGCGAATGTGATGTACGAAACCGATCAAATCAAACGTGCCTGCGGCTGAGACCAGGTCTTGTCAGCTCGTCGAAACAAATACCCACGCACCTCAGAGATGTCGATTGTCTTTTTCGATGAGTTTCGGCCCTTCAGACAGTCCTTAAAGCTTCAATACGACCTATGACAGAAGTCGGGAAAAGCTTCAGCCGAGGGCAGCATGTGGGACACCGACATGACGGACCAGGGTGCTCGGATGTGGGGCGAGCTGGCACATGACGAAGCCCTGCGCATAGCCAACTCCTCAGCCAAGAGGTCAGCGTTCTCCGCATCGTCTTTGTTCGTCATTGTGTGTTGCTAGGCAGGCCTCTTTCTTGAACCTTGATACTGTGCTTGGCTTTCAAAATGGCAGTGCTGTGCTGTTCACTCTAGCTGCATGATGGCAAAAGTCATGGCACTTTCTACTATGCCTGAGAACATTTACAACAAGAAAGGCTGCGGGCATAGGAGCTCCGTCGTCGTCGGGCCTGCAACAGTAGTCATCTCTGCGGGGTGCAGATATCATGTCTCTGAGCGTCATGATGGCCGTGCTGGTAAAGATAATGATGATGATAACGATGATGCTGCTCAAGATGCCGATGTGAGTGATGCAGATCGTGTGCGCGAGCTTGCCTGTTACACAGCAGCTACATACAAAATTGCCGACGGTAGTAGCAGACTTAATTGGTTGTTTCCATGTCTGTTATTTTTCCGTAGCTGTTATCAGAATGTTCGAGTGGCACGGCTTCGATTTTGGATGACCGTCTGAGTGGTTTGTTGACGAGCTTTCGAGACGACGTCCGCGGCTTCAGTCTCCGGCAGCAACAACAGACGCTCATGCTGCTAGCGGTCAATAATTGCAGTGATGCAGGTAGTGAGGTAGAAGGGAAACTAGTAGTGACGGTGGTAATCGTTGTCGTCGTCAGCGCGGAAGCTACTAGTACAACAGGAGAACATGCTCTGGTCATGCTACAGCCTGGCATGGTTCAGAGGCTAAAGCTGCGAAACCTGGATCTCACCAGACACATCATCTCGTAGGACATCCAACTGGCCGGAACCATTGGAGACCCCTTCATGATTGCACGCGATTGTGAGACCTTCGGTCTCATCACGCAAGCACATCAAGCCTTGAGGTGCGAACTGAACTTTACAGCCCATATTTAGCGCTTTTCAGGGTTGGGTTTCTGCTTGAAGAGTTCTTTGCACGGGCGGGCATCTGATTTTGATGAACTCCCACATGAACAAGTCCCATCCTTAAGCTGTGGCCGTCAGGCGCATGCCATCCGCCGCGTGCAATCGTTTGGGCGCTTTCTTTTCTCAGACTCTCAGCCGAAGAGGGGACAGACTTTGGGGATGGTTCTCCCATCTTCGGCGATATCGAGCTTAGGGCCTTGGTTGGGGCCATGCAGAGCACGGCTACTCTTGCTTGTTCTTCTTGTCCTTGTTATCGATGTGAAGGTTGGTGTTCGTATTATTCTTTCGTTCGCTGCTACTTTCGCTGTAGTCAGCAGCTGAACGAAGAAATTTCGGAACGTGGCGGGGGGGGGGGGGGGGGGTGGCGAAGTTGTAGCGCTCAAAGCATTCACGCCTCTTTGCGGAGTGGAAGACTCGCTGGTAAATATCCCTTGGCCCTTTCTCCCTCTTGTCTCTCTCCTAAGCGTCCTTGAAAGAAACCGGTCGTTTGTCCAGGTAGCCTACTCGTAAGGATTTCAGTCCGGCTTCATGAGTTCCAGGTTCTCAAAACTGCTGCGGCTCCTCCCTAAACCCTAAACCCTAAACCCTAAACCCTAAACCCTAAACCTGCTGCGGCTCCTCTTTTCCATTTCTGGGCCTCTCCACTCGCGTCCCTTTTCGGAGGTCGATATTTCCTTGACGGAGGGGAGGGGG